CTCTCTCTCATTTTCCCTCCCTTCCTCTCCCCCCTCCCCCTTCCCCATCCCCTCTCTCTCTTATCTCCAGCCAACAGCACTTCTTTAAAAAGATATTTCAGAATTTCCTTTTTCTAATTCCTAATTCCACACAAAGGCTTCTAACAAAATTGCTGCAATCACCATTAACAGAGCGGTGAAAAACGACATACCTGAGGAATTCCAACACATGTACGGACGCGGCAGCAAATACTACGACCCGAACTCCCTGTACGCTGAGCACCGGTCCCCAGAAGCTTACGACGCCGTCTGGGCCATCGCCTACGCCCTCAACAATACCCTGACTTCCCTCAGGAAAAATGGTAAGCTCGCATTTTTGTCCAAACGTCTTTACGTAATAAAAGTGATTTTTCCAAATGATAAACGACTTGAGTACATAAACAACATGTTAACAGTACAGTTGAAAAATATAGGAATAGAATATATAAATCAAATGAATGAAAAATAGTAGATAGAAATGAGGAACCGAAAAGATAAATCTATCGAATGTACGAAAAATAGTAGATAAAAATAAGAAACAGATATAATCTATGATATGAATGAAAAAAAAATAGTAGACAAAAATATTAAATAGAAATAACTTTTTAAAAATCAAATGAATTAAAAATGGTAGACAGAAAGCAGAAATCATAAATAAATATAATGAATAAAAATGAGTAAGTAAAAATTCAAAAAGGATATAATTTCACATATATAGCGACACAGCGTCGGACTGACCTTAGGCTCGAAACCTCAAACCCGCTAACTCACTATTACGGATCCGGTAGGCTGACCATCAGATAACCGACCCAACAAATAAATAAACGTAAGAAATGAAATATAAAAAATAAGAAAGATAAAAAGAATTAATAAATGATATAATAAATTTTTTAAAATAGTAGACAGAACTAACAAATATAATGTATTTTCAACATAATGAACTAAAAATTGAAAATAAAAATTGAAAATAAAAATACAAAAAGAATATCTCTTTAAAAAAAATAGTGCATCATCGCTATTTATTACCTCTGTTGTCCTCTTTTGAATCAAAAGTCTCTATTGCTCACCCATCTATCGGGCACGACGCTAGCTCAGTTGGTACCATGCTGCATTACAAAGCACATACATGGCCCCCTTGTTCAAATTCCTGATTCAGCATTCTTGAACCATGGATGTGTAATTTTCAACTTTCTCAATCCGTTTGACTCGGCCCTATCGGAGATGGACGTTAGATTCATAAGTCCCGCTACTTTAATTAACTTAACAATCCTGGAAGGGTAGTTGAACCCATGCGGTTACTTATTTTTTTAACTTGAAACGACAAATCGAACAGCGATATGACAAAAAAGAATTGCAAGGTAATGAGTTTTTAATTTCACCCAACAGGAATTTCTTTCTTAATTACACACGTTTTTATGATGATAGAACACATCAATCTGATATTTTGAAGAAGATTGCACACCATGGTGTGAAGAGATGGAAGTGATATGGCACGGTCGTTGTGTCAGGAGAACGAGATGTCATTGAGTTATACAAGATTAGCAGTAGCAGGGTTTCCCGTTCGATGAACAGACTAAAAAGAAGCGATCGTCAAATCATTGTGGGATCAGTGCACGCACTCTTTGTGAACGGAAGCCTCACTTGTTTACAATTGCGTCTTAGACGACGGACCTTCCCAAGATAAGATCTAAACGAAACTAATGAAAACCTGAAAATTAAACTACAATGACTTCAGACTCCTCAGTAAAACTGTTCACCCTTTAAATGATTCTGAACCACCGTTCATTTTTTTTCAAATTTGAAAGTTAAGTGATTCGGAAGTTTTAGCTGGCCAAAGTGACGAACTTTCACAAATATAATATTCACAGATAAAATTAGCTAAATAAATAAAAACAAACAAACCAGATGCCATTGAGCAGAGCAAGATAAACCGCAGCTAAAAAAATAATAAAGACAAACACAACCTCGTAATAAAACAAACAGAAAAGCTTGTTATTGAGTATGATTTTGATCATTGTTTTCGCTGAGGTTTTTGTTTTTCGATTTATTTAATTTTTTATTTATTTTTTTGCTTTTTGTTTTTTGTTTTTTGTTTTTTGTTTTTGTTTTCAATATTGTCAGACCTTTTACACCCAGTATGGTCAGACCTGTCTACAACAACCAGTCAATGCAGAGAAAAAAGTGATCGTCTTAGACAGTGTTGTGAAATAGAGGGAAAAACGCCCAGGGGAGGAGGAGGGGGAGGAAGTGTTTTTTTTGTGTGCGTGTGGTTACTTTGTACAGTTTGCCTCTAATTCTCTGGCCGTATGGAAAGCGTGATAAGTTGAGTAAAATACAATAGTACCGTGATTGTGGGCTCCCAAAGTTTGTCTTTCACATGCTTTACCATCTTCGAGGTTTAATTAAGAAAACTGGCCCCCATGCCTCTTTTTAAAAGGTGGGCGTTATCGTGATGTATTCTCGATTTCGTAATGGTTTATACAAGTCCCTAATTCAGAATTACAACGTTCTATGTGCCCAGTAACTAGTTTTGAGGAATTTGACGTCAAAGATTTTGAGTTTCATATCAAGTCATTTTTGTTTCAAAAAGAGCAAATAGAATATTGTAATATATAATTTTTTTGCAAGTGTTTTACAGCGCTCGAAACTGCATAAGGTGATATGAGCGCGCGGGACACACTAAACTTTTTCAGTAGATAGGAAGTTTTGAATTTTGACCGGGTGGTGGTCGAAGCCTAATCTTATCGATTTTTAGACCACCAAGGGATCTTTAACGTGCGCAACTTGCACACCGGCCTTCCGAGATCTTCTGCCCTTGTCCGAGAAGGTTAGGTGTAGATATTTCTTACCAGAAGATCAGGGGTGTGGCAGAAAGACAGCAGTAAGAAGAAGCTAAGAGGTAGCAATAGAAAGGCTGCAGAAAGATCAGGAGCCCAG